TAGAGTGGTTATCTCCCCTTTAGTAGTTTCGCATGCCATGTTGAAACCTTTTGGAATTCGGACTGCAGGTACTATTTGGTCTTGTAGACCCAGTTGTTCCACGACCCTCGATCTGATGATATTGGCCGAGCTACCTAGATCAATTAACACACGCTTAACTTGAGATTTATTTATGAGTACAGATATTACCAGTGCATCATTATGTGGTTGTACGATGCCTTCAGCGTCCCTGTCATTGAAAGATATGGTTCCCTTCGATATGTAATCTCGAGTCCGTTTTTCCCTTGTAATGGACACCTTGGTACGTTTTGACATCGGTCGCTGAGGGATGTCAACTCCGCCCATGATCATGTTTTGACTTGCTGGGGTTCCTCTTGCTCGATCTGCTTGTTGGAGTCCATATTCCTGGAGTGATTTTTGGCTCGATCACTCAGAAATTTTTGGAGGTGTCCGTTATTGAATAACCAAGCTACTTCTTCCCTTAGTTGTCGGCAGTCCTCGATTCTATAGCCGTGAGTGCCATGATACTTGCACATTAGGTTCCGGTCCCTTTGGGCAGGATCATACTGCAATGGACGAGTCCATTTGGTATCTTTGATGCATCCTATAGAGAATACAACACTTGCAGCATTGATACTGAAGTTATACTCCGATAATCTTGGTGCCTCCCGGGCCCCGAGTTACCTATCAAAACCGCTCTTGCTTATGATTCCTTGACTGTTCTAGCCTCAATCATTCCTTTTTTCATTCCTCGCAGATCTTGGTTCATGATCGATGGTTCTTTTGGCTCTGTTACTAGTTCTGATGGAATAAATAAACCCGGAAGGGGCCTTGAGCTAGTCGTCTTTGACTCTAATTTTTGAAACGTGCCTGTTATGGACGACGACCCAAGTTACCGTTGGGTATTCTACCAAATTTTGTTTCAACTGCTGCAAAACCAATGAGTTTTGGGGTTTGAGTCCTTGGGTGAATGCCTGATCGACCCAATCATCCGCGACCGTAGGCAATGTGTTCCATTTGAAACCTGGACACGAACTTCCTGAGCATCTCGTTATTTTTTTGCTTTACTTTGAAAAGGTTTGACTTCCTGATCTCGACCTTGATGGCCCCGACGTGTGCTTTTACAAAAGGCACCTGCAAGCATAGCAAACGAGTCAATAGAATTAGGGGGTAAGTTGTAATATCATATCATAGCTCTTTTTAACAAGGTCTCTCCGAACATTTTCAGCAGGTCGGATTCTATTTCATCATCTTCTAAGTTGTTCAACTTGATGGCGTACGTGTAGGAGGTCACATATTCATTTGAATCAGTTGTTCCATTTGTACTTCGGAATTTCGGGCATTCGAAACTTCTTTGGGATCGTCTTTGGAGCTGAGCTTGGAGGGAAAGGTTTTTGGACAAATTTTTTGGAATCCAGGCCTTTTAGTATCAGGGGTGCTCCCGGGATTTGATCAACCCTGAGTTACAGGTCTCAAATTTTTTGTTGTTGGCTTCGATTTATTTTCTCCCGATTTTACCCATTTTGTCAGCTCCTTAAGCATCTTTATTATCTCGGGGCTGATCCTGGATTCTTCTTCACTATGCCTTTCTGTTGCCGGTTCGTTTCTGCGAGTGTTTTCCCGGGATGGTTCGGGCTCAACTTTGCTGGGGGCGGGGCTTTGGTTCTGCAACCGGGATATTGCTGCTTGTTGAGCCTTAAACATTTTGAAGATCACGCGCAAGTTGATCCCATCATCTTCGCCATCGTGCGCACTCCGGGCAATCAATCGGGCTCCTACGCGAATGTTGTTTTCGAGATCAGTAGACAGATTTGCTTTGATAGCCACATGTGATTTAACATCGATCTGATCTTTAACTAGGACTCCATTGGGACCAACAGGGGGCACCTCATTGTTGTTCTCTCCATGGTGGCCGGATTCAGCGTCAACATTCAAATGGATAGACTGGAGTTCGACATTTCTATCTCGACTTGAAATTAAAAGCTCAAAAAATAAGTGTAAAATAGAGTGTGTTATAAAAAATTTTATCAACCCGCCGCTATTATCCTTAACCCCACGGTGAGTTCCAAACTATTTATCCGAAAAATGGATAACAATTAAATTTAAATATGGTTTTAAGGATATGCGGATTAATTCAATACAAATAATAAATTGCGATAGATCAGATGGATAAAGAATGTAATAAATCATTAAACCAATTGGGGGAGTGAATCCGGACTCAGTAACAGCTTTAGTGAAATGCATGCCTTCGATCTCGAGCTCACTATAATGAAGAATTGATGAATTCAGGTAAGAACTTGGAATAGCAAAGAAACTAAGGGTATATTGCCTTGATTAGTGTACCATAATGCGCTTAATGAATAACCAGACCCCTTTATATAGTAGGAGAGTTCTACTCTAAGTACAATTCCATAAAAGGTAAAAATCTTCCGTTTAACTAATCACAGAATTCCTGCCGATACGTGTCGAGATCCACGCTGTGATATCTGATTGATCACGGATGTCACGGCCTTCTTTTGGTCATGTCCGATTGCCTGATTATGCTCTTCGAGGCCTTTAGGATTTGAAACGGTCCCGCGGTCACGGCCCCGATATTCTCGGGGGTGTGCATTTTGCCCCGGACCCTGGCTCGAGGGGCTCCTCGCCTCGATTTTGGTTCCTTGCCGTCACGTTTCTTGGTCCGCTTATTTCATAAAAAATTGAGGCATCTCAAGGGTTCTGTTTTACCCATATACACACTCATTGATGAATACTAACTGAAAGCGGTAAGAAAAAAATTAAATTAAATTTTGGGTAAGGAATAACATGATACGCTCACTTTGGTATGATTATTTCTATTGATAATATGGAGTAGAATTTATGAAGTCAGCTCGAGGAAATTAAAGAAACCGGCCTAACATTTTCCATCAACCTCCCCCCCCCCCACCCACACAGGGAAAGGACTAAGACCCCATTTGGATTAGTTGTTCGTAAATAACTGATAATCTTGAAGTGCTGAAAAGTATTTTTAAGTGTTGTAATTAATTTTTTAAATAAACATTTACATGTTTAGATAGACGTGTTAAACTGATAATAAGCCGTTCATGTGTTTGGTATAAAAGTATTGATAAGTTACTCTTTTTTTAGTTAAAAAGACTAAAATATCCTTTTAAACCTTACAAAATTATAAATTAAAAAAATTATAAAGAAAAGGATGAACAACGAATATGGAATGAAAAGAAAGTTAGAAAATTTATTTTAGGAAAAATATTTTTTGAATTAAAAAATATTATTAAGGATAAACTAGTAAAAGCCTTAGTCAAACTAAAAGTGTTTATAAGCTGAAAAGCCATAAGTTGGGAGGTGACCAACTTATGACTGATTTTAGCTTATAAGTACTTGATATTTTTTTCATACTTGTTGTTTATAGTATATATTCTTAAATGATATAAAGTCTTTAACTTAACGTAGTAATATTATTATTATTCATATTAAAAAAAGGTAATTTAAATAAATGAGATATTAAACATGTATTTGCAATGTGGTACCTTTAATATTATTGTAAAAAATGTATTTACTAATATGAAGATTTAAGTTGTTTAATTCAAAGTTTTAAAAATATTTTCACTGTTAAAAGTAAACATCTTCTTTTTTTTTTATACATTTTTTGTACTTATTTTTTCTACAAACATTAATATTGTCTAGTTTGAAATAAAATTATATAATCCATTAAAATTTTGGGGATCTAAATCAAGGCTTTACTAGTCTCCTACTACAGCTACTTGCCCACCCCTGATATTCTCAGTCAAGTTTGTAGAGTCTCAATTAAGATAAGACAACAATGGCAAGCACATTAAAGGCGGTGAGTGTGTCATTCAGTTACCAAATGTGAATGAAGTTGATTGAACATTACGTTCATGGTGGCGCAGTAGACTGTAAGTAATTGTTGATCTTCAGTGAGGGGCGACTCAACAAAACTGGTGGCCTAAAATCAAAATATATTAAAAAGATACTAAAATTTATTTTATAAAATCCATATATATAATATTGAGACACAAAAAAACCTACATGATTTTGATCTAGTGGTGAGAGCGCAACTCATGATGTATGGGTTAGGCACATGTCATATGATATTGAATTCTTCCTTTAAGTGAAAATAGTAAAGGGGTGAGTCTATTATCCATCGTGTTTTGAACCTTGCGAAAAGAGGAAAATGCGAAAATTTACCGACCAAATCAATCTCAAATCTCTTATATTCAAGTGCGTCCTTATTTTTCAATTTGCGACCAAATCCGTCGAAAATTTCCGACCGGTCGGTCGCAAATTATTTGACCATATATTTTCCGACTGACCTTTTTGGTCGGTAATTCATCGGAAAAGCTCGATTTCCGACCGATTTGACGGTCGAAAATTTGTAATTTTCTAGTTGTGTTTCAGTGAAAATGGTAAAGGGGTAAGCCTATTATCCATCGTGTATTGAACCTTGCGACATTTGTCTCGTGAATTTCTTAGTTAAAAAAGATGAGACAAAAAAGAATTTGCTTTCTAATGTGTAGATCAATCACATGTGACAAAAATGAATAATTAATCTAGAGAATTTGAGTTAAAATTAAAAAGTAAAATCGTTAGAAACATGAAAAAAGATTATATATAGAGGAAGAAAAATATAATTGATGAGCAGGTAAATATATTATATAATTTAGTGAGAGAAAAAAATTATCTTATTAACTCACTCAATCCTACCTCTATCAAATTTAAAAATTGTTAAAATTTTAAATCTTTTATTATATATATATATATAGTAATGCTTCGTATTTCTGAGGCCTTACCCTAGACCCGCCCTTACTGATGCCAACATGCGCCCCACGATTCTCCATTTTTTTCTGCTGATATGATGGCACACTCCACCACGAAATTACACCCCATAACCAACTTCAGAAAAAACTCCTCCTTTTTAAGTAATCAAACTACTCAGATTCTTATCTCCATTATATTATTCCATTATTATAACATAAGAAAAAGAGCTCCCTTCTTTCAAATCCAAAAATTCCTTCTCTTTTCATGGATTCCTCTAAAGCTTTTCTGTACTTAGTCTTCTTACTCTTTTCACTTCATTTCTTTATGGCTCTTGCCACTGAATTTGCTGTTGGTGGTGACAAAGGATGGGCTGTTCCTAAAGTAAAAGATGATCAAGTGTATGACCAGTGGGCTGGAAAAAATAGGTTTAAGATTGGCGACACCTTGAGTAAGTACTCTTCTTTACCTTAAGCATTATCGATTATACTTTATACATATCGATCTCTTCACGTTCAAAGGCATCCAAAATATAATTTTGCTATCATAATTAACATATTATAAACTTATGCTTCTTCTAAACATTGTTCAACTATATGTATCAAAAGCATACTCAAGTTATAAACATGACAGTGTAAATAAGTTAGTAATACTTTATCGATGCAGTATAACCGATTATAGCATGTAGTCACTAATAACATAGTATATGAGTTTTTATATGAAAAGTTACATGTTGTTTGATATCCGTTACAAATCTCATATACAGTCAAACATCTCAATAACAGACTTATTTGTTTCGATATTTTTTGGCTGCTATAGTGAAGTGTTGTTATAGAGAACAATATATTATAACATAACATGAAAAATCGTTCCAAAGAAAACTTGGCCGTTATAAGGAAGTGTTGTTATAAAGTAGGACTATTATAGAGAGGTCTCACTATAGTAGTATATATAAAAATTCTTTATACTATAACAACACTTTATTATAACAGCCAAAAAAATTAACGAGAATGTTATATAGAGGTATGACCGTAACATAATTTCATCTACTATTACTACTCCGTTCAATTTGCATGATCTTTACAGTTATTTGACTCCATAATGTCTGTGTGGTGTACGTAGGTTTTGAGTATAAGAAAGATTCAGTTCTGGTGGTGACTAAAGAAGAGTACGAGAAATGCAAGTCGAGTCATCCAATTTTCTTCTCTAACAATGGAAAAACCATTTATAAATTGGAGCAATCTGGGTTATACTACTTCATTAGTGGAGTATCAGGACATTGCGAGAGGGGTTTGAAAATGATAATCAAAGTTTTAGAACCAGAATCTCCTCCTCAATCTGCTAACCAGACTTCCTCAACTAGTAATGGTGCTACTGCTGCTGCTCCAACTGCAATGACGTTTATGGTGTTATTCTTTGGAGCTTTTCTTTATTAGTTTATGAATCTTGAATATTCTATGTTTTTTAAGTTAGTTATTTTCTACTAGTGGATTATGAACTCATGGAATTTGTTTTTTAGGCTTCAATATTGAAATTATTCATTTTACCAGATTGGAAATCACGGTTTTGTTGGTCACGTATTGCTCCTGTAGTTTACGTGATATGTGTTTTTATATTTTAAGCTTTATTGACGCTAGCATGGGCGGAGCTAGTGTGTTCAGAGCGAATTCAGTCGAACTTAATAGTTTTGATTCGAACTTTGTATTTGTCTTAAAATTTTCATTTATGTATAAATAATTAATCTTGAACCCACTAAATTCAAATATTAGAATCTCGAACCCATAAACTTAAAATCCTGAAAAATAAATTGATTAACCTGAAAAATAAACTTGAAACCCATAAACTTCAATCGATTATACTCCCCACACGTCAGTGGAATTGATTAACCTGAAAAATAAGATGGCAGGTTAAATTTCACTCATTTTGCAAATATTCATTTGCAATGTCGTGTAATCAAACCTGAAATTTCATTAGAAGAACAAAAAACAAGCCTATAAAAAAGCATTTCTGATGTATCTCATGTTATAAATACTTACTCTAGGAGGCAAAAGTCTCTGGTTCAATTACTATACACTTCATATAACTACACTCAAACCAAAACCTTTGAAATCTAGACTTGTTGTATGACCTAAGTGTTCGAGAACTATTGATGTCTAGATATATCATGATTCATGAGCAATTATACGATCTTTTATACAATTCCAATGGAAAAAATAAATAAACTTTGTTGTTGGGCAAAATTGATCCAACAAGGAGCTAAACCTATATTTGACTTTCTGTATAGAACCAATTAACTGGATTAGCAGCCCATTTTACTTATAAACTTTAAATAAACCTATTTTCTTTTTATAACCCATTTTAAACAATTTTCACACATTTTTTTTTATCGTTTGTAGCCGATTAAGCCAGCTAACAAATTAGGAGTAATTGTAGGGATTTCAGATACCCAAATTAAAAAGATCTCTTTTCATTCTTTTTCTTCTGTTTTTCCGTTACCCAAATTTTTTTTAAAAAAAATCTTTCATTCTCTCTCTTCTTTAACATCCTAATAGGAAATACCCCAACATGACTAGGGGTATCAATGGTTTGGTTAGGTTGATTATTTTATAAAATTTATACCATACTAATTTTTCGATTATTCTATTACGTACATTACCAAAATGAGACTTTGCGAAATATCCCAATCATATCGGTTTCTCTTCGATATTGGTACGGTTCGGATAATTTTCGGTATTTTTTAAAATGTCATGTAAAAGTCACTAGTAGAAGTAGAATGCAATAACATATGTACTTTTATATGACTTAACAAAACTCTTTAGACATTTTTACTGTTTAAGGGGTGATGAATTAAGAAAAAATAAAAAATGGCCAGAGTATAGATCCATCAACTATTTTACAGCTGCATAAAAAATGTAAGCAAAAACAAATATATATATATATATATATATATATATCACAAAAAGATATTAACCAAACTTGGACTCAAGAATAAAGTCTATAGAAAATTAAATACTAAAAACGATAAATCCAAATCATACGAAAGGAAACACATATTCAATCCATTATAGTTTGCTGCTCATAATCGCTAGAATCCTTATGTCTTGCTAGTGAATATGCTGGAAATAATTTAGTTTCAATAAGAGTAGCATAATTGGGAATTAGGATTTTGAGTTTTAAATACTTGTTGGCTTGTAACGTTTTCATAATTCCAAGGCCCACGAAAAAATTTAATGCTTTATTATTTTTAAATCTAATATATAAATATGTTTTTCACATGTGAATTTATTCAGTACGGTTCGATATATTTTGGTTTATTTTCATAAAATTAAAAACTTACCCTAATTATCGGTACAATTATAGATTTATATAAAAACCTATGATTGTATTAAAAGAAACTTAAAAATCAGTTTGATACGGAATAGTTCGATCGATTAACCGCTTTTAAAATAATCGTTGACACCTCTACCCAACACCACCACGTTTTGAAGAGCTTTGCAATGCCATATCTACGACGGTTATTTTTGTTTGAGATCCTCGTTAATTTCAACTTATCCTTTTAGTTTCTCATATTTTTCTATCAAAATTAAAATTATGGTCAAAATTTTCATCCCAAATACCGTAAAATCCAAGTGNATATATATATATAAGAGCAATAAAAAAGTGAGGTGACACATCTCTTTGGCCCAAGAATCCTATTTATCTTTTTTCTCCTTTTTTGACTTTTTTCCTTAATTTTTATTTATAAATGTCTCAATTATTACTACTCCCCTCTCTTTCCTATTCCCTATTGTAAGAAACGGCTCATCTTTCCTATTCCTAATTGTAAAAAACGTCTCAATAATTATTATTCCTAACTCTTCATGTTCCCTCCCAGAAAAATCAGAATGTATTAAAATAAAACCCATACAGTTCATAATCCTCACTGCCCGATGGTTACCATCAGAATGTGATGCAAAATATATGCAGAAGAATACCTTTCTGGTATTCCAACACATACTACGTACTAAGGTGCTTGAACTAAAAATAATTGTGAGTATACGTATTCAGTAGTTCAATGTAGATGAATGAATCTAACTTGATTATATTACTTTTTTTCTTTTCTTTTTGTTTGTAATTTTTGTTAACTGAAGCTGTCATACTATACAAGGTATTTTTCATGTCTAATGGAGTATATGCAGATAAAATGGGATTGAGAAAAGGATACAGGATTGAGATGATAGTTTTCTGAATTGAAGCTTAGTATGGAAGTAACTCCTTACCCTATAGACAGAGATCTGTAAGCAGGATTTAAGGTCAATCGCACGTGAGTATTTAAAATATACATCCTATTTTTCATGAAATATTAGAATTCAAAATATCTCATGATATTGCTTTCACCATTATATTACAGTACGTAACATGTACTAATATATAGTGTACTTCCTACGTTACAATTTGTTTAGTAGTTGCGTTTGTTGTAGAGAGAATATGGAATAATTATGTTTTTCTTTCTCCAACTTCCTCAAAACGTTCTCTTAATTTGTTTGTATTTGTAACTGATAAGTTTGTAAGTATTTGACAGAATGAAGCACAAAGTAAATGATAATCTGTTAGCTTATTACACTAAGTTTAGAACGAAAAAGTAGCAAAACTTGCTCCGCTATAAGTAGCAGTTGTTAACTTTTCTCATTGACCTAATCTTGTAATTTTTAGAATGACGTAACATTCAGGATGCAAATCTATCATGTTGTGATACGACGAGTGACATTATTTGAAGGGTATAATCGTCCCCAAGTATATGATGACAGATGTCACAATATTTGCCTAAATAACTCGAGTATAAGAATTTGTACGATATATCCATCAGACACATCTTACATATTCGCAGTGCTAGAGAGGATTATATTATGCCTGACTTACCGCACTTCTTTCTTCAATTCATTTTAGAAGGTCTTTCATGTAATAAGGTGTTCTAAACATTACAAGAACTTTCTTGATGTGGCTCATCAAATAATAGTCTAATTTGTATTGCTAATTTCTTTTTTTTTTTTAAAGGATATAATATTTATCTTACCCTTAAACTCCCTTTGTTTCCATATTCCATCTTATTTACTGAATTTTATTACACATTCATTCATGACTTATTGTTTAGTTTCATCCGTTACAAAATGTCCTCTCTATTTATTTGAGTACTCTTCATAAATCTTATAGCCATTCCCCCCTATCACCCCAAGTTTGCATTGGCTGAGAAAGAAAAATATATGTCATGTGAAATGTGTAGTTCATTTATAATTTAGGAGTAGAGCTAGAGATTTTTTGGTTGTCGGATCGGAATATGAAAAACAATGTAGGTTTAAGGTATACAAAGAAAAAGAAGAACAGAAAGTGGTCCAATTAATATCAATGACAGGTTACATTTAATTATTTTTATTTTTTCCATTTCTTTTCTTTTTCTATTTTTTTGTCTCCTCCCCTTTTTAGTTTTTTTTTTTACATCTCGAGAAGCGGAAAAAATTGTGAATCATGTGAAGCGGAAGTGTCAACAAGTCATACTAAGAAATAATCATGGATTTTGTTTTATAAAAAATTTAAAATATGTTTAATTAGTAAAGATTAATTTTCCTTACAAAATAATGACATTAATATTTAACTTTATTTTAATTCTTTTAACGACCGCGCGAAGTGCGGGTAAGTACACTAGTTAATGTATACTCACTGTATAATATGTATGTTTAGAAAAAGAGTAAATACAAAGAAACGAACTTATTTATACACCTTGTTATAATGTGTAATCAGTGTATAATCACTATATAATATGTATATAAACCAGTGCTTATACATTACATACTGGTTTATAGATTTATTATATTGGTGTTATGCATTGTGTTCAAATGGGGAAATTTTTGTTGTTGATTCGTCATAGATAACGCATAAGAAACGTCTGTATATCCGTGAGGAAATCCTATAGACCTTGATTATCGCAACAACCTGTTGAGAGATTCTTTCTCTTTCAGTTTTTGTACATTTATGGCTAAATTTTGTTAGAGCTAACTATGTCATATTTTTCTTATCATATGTATTTCATATGATTCCCAACCAGCTGCTAGGACCTTGTCACACCCCGAACTTGGGCCTGGACGTAACACGACACTCGGTGCCTGACTACATGTGACCGAGCGGACCAACTAGCTGAATCAACATGTGGTATCGTAACATAATGAGCGTGGAAGATAAACTAACATATGCTTATATACTAAAAGTCTGGATGATATACATCAAAGTGCGAAAATACTAATACAATTATGAAACATATTTGCAGCCAACATAGCTTAACATGAAAAGCCTAAGACTCTGTCTAACTTCTACTCTAGTCTATGAAGCCTCTAAAGAAGTACTGAAAACACTGATTGTCTGTAAATACTGAAAGACTGTAAAGTAATGATAATGCCCCGAAAGAACTAGGGATCACTAAATAGCTGGTACGAGAATCCTAGCGCTCTGAATCATCAACCTGTAAATCATTACCTGCATCG